TATTGCATTTCTGCATAATAAAACTATATGTCTTTCATCAAAAAACAAAGATATTTATTAACTTTGACGTTTACACAACAATGTATGCAAGTTTATTTCGTCCACGACAAAGAACAGGAAACGCAGAAAGACAAATAAAGGGGACACAGAGGGAACAACCACAGGCGACACGAAGGAGCCAGGAGTGAACGGAGGAGGAACAGAGGGACGAGAAGCGAACAGAGGAGACACAGAGGGCATAGGAGCAGAGAGGGGAGACCAGACAGGAACGGACGGAGGACAAAGGGGAGCCCGGGGGAACCCAGGCGGGCGAGGGAAGGCAGCCGCAGGGGCCACAGGCGGACGGGAGGGGACCACACAGGGGGCAAGGAGACAGACGGAGGGACCGACAAAGGAAACGAGGAGGGAACAGGAGGGAACAGCGGCGCAGGCAGGCAGAAGGGGGAAGCCGCGGCAGGAGAAGGCGCAGCCGGAGCCAGGGAAGGTGCCGTCCGACGCCCAGCCGGAGCAGGGGGGCCCGGAGGCGGTGCAGCCGGAGCCGGGGACAGGACTGGCTGGAAGGGAGAGCCAGGCAGATCAGGCGCCGGCAGGACAGGCGAGACAGGCAGATCAGGCGCCGGCAGGACAGGCGAGACAGGCAGATCAGGAGGGGGCGCCTCAGCAGGTGCCTCGGCCGTGCGGCCAGTAGGGGGCGCCACGGGCAGAGCGGCTTCCTCCGCTGCAGGCAGAGGCAAAGTCAGGCCCTCGGGCGGAGCTGCAGCAGGCACCCTCAGTTCCCGGCCAGCAGGGGGCGCCACGGCGGGCGCCGCCATCACGCAGCCAGCAGGGGGCGCATCCGGGGCCACCGGCATTACGTGGTCAGCAGGGGGCGCATCCGTGGTCACCTCGGGTAGTACCGCAGGCAGAGCGGTGGCAGCTGCAGGAAGCGGTGCAGCTGGAGCTGCGGGCAGGACGGGAACAGGCGGGTCCGGAACCGGCTGGACCGATGAGCAGGGCTGCACGGGAGAGGCGGCCTCGGACAGGGCCGCGGGCAGGACAGGAGAGGCGGCCTTGGGCAGGGCCCGCGGGCAGAGCGGCGGCCTCAGGCAAGGCCGCGGGCAGAGAGGACGTGCGGCCAACAGGGGACGCCTCCGCAGGCACCTCAGGCGTGCGGCCAGCCGGGGGCGCCTCGGCGGGCGCCACCTTCACGTGGCCAGCAGGGGGCGCCGCATAAGATTTCTTGCGCGAGTGTGAGAGTCCGAAAGCGTGAGTCTCACGCCAGATGCGTGAGAGTTGGCAGCCCTATGTTCATCATTTATCACAACAGTAAATTATTGCATTTCTGCATAATAAAACTATATGTCTTTCATCAAAAACCAAAGATATTTATTAACTTTGACGTTTGCACAACAACATGCTCATTGTATGTGTATGTGTGATTGTATTGGTAATATTGCAGTTGTTAACTGTGATGTAGTCCTTGATACTCATGCACATGAATTTGGCTAAAGAAAATAAGAACTATAAATACACACGCGTGTTTGTTCAGCATCGACACCCTTTTTGCTTTTTATATATTGTTTTATTGTGAATAGTCAAGCTGAACATTTTAGAATTGATTCATTACAATGAACAGCTTGAAAGAATCAAATCAGTTAATTCAGTCGAACTTCCCATCAGTACTGTGTAGCGACTGGGCCACATGAGCTCACCGCGCCCCGTAGCGTCTTGGAGCACTTCTGGTTTGGGATCGTCTACTTGCAGTGCATTTTCTTTCTGTTTCTGCTTTTTCTTTTGTTTGTCTCTTTTGAATTGCAGTACATTTTTCATTTTGTTTCTTGCTTTTTCTTTTGTTTGTGTTTTTTACTTTGCAGCGCATTTTCATTTTGTTTCTGCTTTTTCTTTTGTTTGTGTTTTGTCTCTAGGGGCCACCGTACATTTGCCACGAAAACTGAAGTGTCATCTTATTTCCCATCACAGGGGTGAGACGAGTATTATTTACGCTACAGCACCACGCTCACGCGCGGACGTGGTGGTTACACTTGCATAGGGCTGAGCTCCATTTTATGCACAAAGCCGAGGGCACAGACAATTATGAGGGGAATTGTTTTAATTTTTATACTTTACTGGTATGGCATTTCAGTTTCAAATGGTAAGTTTGCTACTCATTGTACATGTTTGGTTTCTATATAATTTATAAATCTTTAGATAATAATTTGGTATAGTATTTGGCATTTTATGTTGGGATTGTGTGTTTAGTAATGTTTCCATTCATAATTTTATGGTTTTTCCTGTTGCCGCATTCCTAGTAGTTTATAATTTTAAAGGTGTTTTCTATGAGCTCCATCATATTTTTTAGATATAGACAGCGGCAGATCAGTTATAAATTGCATTACTGAAAACTGAAAATTTTGAATTGTATCATTTGAAAATGTTTAATTCTAAATGTTTCCTTTTCTTCCTTTTGGAAAGATTTATAGAAAATTATAAGGTACGCCTACATTTAGCTTTCATAAATGTTTTAGAAATTATACTTGTATAGTAATAATTTCAAACCATAAAAGACAAATCTGTACCATGATCAAATTCAACCAGGAAAAATTTACATAATTTAATTATATGTATAGCAACAAATCCTGGCTTACTAGTTTCCACTGTTCAGAAAAACATTTTAAGAAGTGTTTTTAATTGAGCGGTAAACTTTCATCTGAATCGAGATTTGTCTCATTTCTTCATGGAACTTCATATGCTTTAATGTTCAGTATCAGAATTGGCATTTAGTGATGCTAATGAGATTTAGAGTTTTATAGGCAACTACTAAAAATTATTTTTGAATAAATCATGGATACCATACACTTGTGAATCACACTGAAAATAATTGAATATTTGTACATATTTCAGGTACAATTTCATCTTCTCATGCTTTAAATACAAGTTTGCTTGGAAAGTTGGTGATGGCCCAGAACTATAGGTTTTATGACTAGCATATGGTTAACTGCATATGGAAGACAAAGCTAAACCACGGACACATGCACTACTGTATATTGAGCACCTGTGCTCTGATTGGAGTCTTTGTTTTAAGATGAAAGGGTTTCATAAGAGTGTTGCTAACTTTGTGAGCAGTAGTATGGACTATGAAGAATAACCACTACACAATACTAAAATTTTAATTAAAAATTAATAAGCAAAATTCTGATTAACTTGATGCATTCACTGATGAACTGAACCAGAGTCAATAAGGCTACATATTTAAAATTTAAAGCAGTTGTGATGGACCTTCAGAGCTCAGCTAGAGATCAGCTGTACTAATGAACAAAATGAAGAACGTTAGTATAGGAAAGTGCATCTGATTAGGCTCAATTGGTAAGAAAATTTTGTAGATTGTTTTTCTTTTATCAGAGGATATGCATTATCATATATGTTTCAGTGCATTTTCTTCTATTTAATCAGAAGTTTAAGACTCATTGTCTTTCCTCTTTTTTCTGTTTGTTTTATCGTGACAGCCTGTGGAAAATGTACATTTTATGTGGCTTTAGGAGATAATTTTAGCATCCCGCTGGAACACAAAAACCTCAGAGAACATGATGAATTGATCTGGAAGAAAAATTCAGAAACAGTGTATAAGAAGAAGAAAAACAGGGTACAAATAAATACCACAGTTGTCAGCAGCTCTGGCTCCTTACAGCTAATTGATTTGAAAATGACTGACTCAGCAAATTATTCAGTAGAGGTACATGATAAAAACGGAGCGTTCCTTAAGGAAGACAGAAAATGCCTTTGTGTGATTGGTGAGTACATTATGAAACATAGCATGTACATATGTGTACACAAACAATACAGAACATTTCTGGTTGTGCCACGTAAATAACATAACTAAATTTCTGTGTCAGTAGGATCAATATCAGAAATATTGTTCATATTTTAATTTTAACCGATATACACCACATATGTTTTGTACTTTCGGAATTAAGGTAACCATCAGTTTCTGAAACTGATGGTTTCCTTGTATCACTACTGAACTGAATTTAATAAACTCCATGATGGCTCTCTGTCCTATTACTAAAATTATGGTTTGGTTGTGGAAAAAAAAATGGTTTGGAATATGAATTGTGAGTATAGCTTTATGAGATGCAAAATGTAATTGGTAATTAATAATCATTTGCATTGCTTTTCAGAAAAAATTTTATCAAAGCCTCATATTCAGTCTAATTGCAGCAAGTCAAAACTGACCCTGACTTGTTCTGTGAAAAAACCTAATAATGTGAAGTATGCCTGGCTTAAGAACAAGAAAGAAATGAAAGAAAATACCAAAACTCTGATTGAAGACAAAAAAAAACTTAAAAGCAGTGATACATTTTCATGCAACGTATCGAATGAAGTCAGTTACCAGATGAGTGACGACATCAAATGTCCAGGTGTGTCAGTAGAGTTGTGATATTTGCATGTATTTCTAGTACCAATTATTAATTCTATTTCATTACACTGACTTTGTTATGTACAGGTGATCACATTTGTAAATCAGTTTTGTATTCCTTTTTACTTCAGATGACAAACTGCTTGGGTTGGACTTTTGGGTCATGGTAGCCATTTTGGCGACAGGAGGGGGTCTTATTCTTATTCTCATCTTGGTCCTGGTGGTGTGTGTCTGTCGGCGACTGAAACAAAACAAGGATCGAGAGCGAGGTAAGATGTAGTGTGTGGTGTTCCGTCTACTCAATATACAGTTCTAAGATATTGCGGTTCTGTATCCAGGGTGTTTGGGTTTTTTATTTTACAAGAAAACATGGGGAAGAACAAAAACAAATGGTAGCAAGTTCAACCACAGGGCAAGGGAAAGTATGCAAAAGAATAAAACTGTCATCAGATTGCAGATGAGCATCTGGGATTTCTGATCTGACATTCCTCTCTCCGGGATGTTGCATTCTCCATCCATCCATCCATCCATCCATCCATCCATGCATCTATCCAGTTGCTTATCCTGTTCATGATCACAAGAGGGGCCTGGAGCCTAACCCAGGCACCACAGGGCTGGGGATGTCAGTCCATGACAGGATGCACCCCTACACACTGTACCCAGTCGGGTTATTGCCATTTATGTAGGATGCCTCTGTTGTTGAGCTGGTGATTTGGGCTACCACTGTCACAGACAGATCTCAGGTACACACTGACCATGTGGCGTGATGTTCTTCCAACAGAGGAAGAGGAGCTTCGGCTGATGCACATGAGGCAGCAGGCCCACCCCCCCAGGCCGCAGGAGGCCCCCAGGAGCCACACAGCTCCCTACACACACCCACAGAATGGAGAGGATTACACCCCGCCCCCCCCCAGACCAAGAGGCAAACGGCCCAGGCCTCCACCAGTGCCGGTCACGGATGAGGAGAAACCCCCGCCACGGCCGAAGCCACGGCAGTCAGCGCCCCGCCACAACCGCACTTAGCTCAGCTTCCCACCAAGCAACTGTCAGAGCAACTTCATTGGAAAGGTCACATGTCCCTATCATCAGAGACCAGCATGCAGGGCCACAAGGCCATACATACATGATATCACAACTACTGTAGGTACATAATTCAAAATAACCTTGCAAGGAAAGTACTATATGTGCTTTGTTTTACATAACTGCAAAAGTATTTGTGCCACAGAACAAATAATCTTTTATAAATATTTGTGTGTGTGTCTGTGTGTGTGTGTAATATGTGTATATTAATTTTTTTACAATGTTTGGTGTACAGTACTGTGCAGAAGTCTTAGGCAGGTAAAGAAAATGATGTTTAGATTATCCTGTTTAAATGGGCCACTAGCACACCTCATACAGCTAGTCAATCTGTCACTGACTTTTTAAAGCAATTTATTTAATTATTTAATTGAGCTGTTGGTGAAATTTAACAAAATCATGGAACGGCTGAGGTGCCCCTGAGGAGAAGTTTGGGAACTGAAGCGGTGTTCATCTAGCCATCCAACTAGATATCAGTAACTTTTTAGAAAACAAAAGAAATGATTACTAGTTTTTATTGTGTTACTCTTAATTTGCACATGTTCTAATGTTAAATTGTGTTTTTTGTTCTAAGCCAAAGTACACTTGTTGCCCAGATAAACAGCTTTAAACATTTTTTTGGACTGCCTAAGACTTTTGCACAGTACTGTATATAAGGATGAATATCGTATTACATATTTTTCACGAGAGTTAGCTATTCACGATACAGAGGCAATGTTAACCCATAAAATTTAACCAGCTTTATGTTTTTTCTTCTAAAATATATGTTTACATATAGTGTACAAAACCAAAAAAAAGAAAAATAAAGTGAAATGTGTAATATGTACCTCGTACCCAAAGTATTTTTCTAACAGTAAGTACCTTGTTCTCCATTCCAAGTGTTGTCAGTGTGCTGTTATATATCTGTGCTTATCATATGTATGTTGTGTGCAGCCAGTGCTATGGGCTACTCAGTATGTTCAATTTAGTATTACATGTCTCAGGTGTAAAACCATCTCATTCTAGGGGTGGACAGTTGAAGTTAGTCCCAGTAATGTTTGCATTCATTGGCTAAAAATTGTGTTTCTGTCTGCTTTGTCACTCGCCTACCCCTCACGTAGTACATGCACCAGCTAAGACTTCTCTTTTCCTGTTTCAACGGAACTACAATGATATGAAATGAGCCTGGAGCTGTGGTTTTTAGCCACCAACTGCAACACTGTGCAAAACAAAAGGCATCAGCAGAACAGTTTTAACCCTGCAGAAACCGGATGCACCTCCTGCCCAACCTGCTCGACGTCCTCAAGGCCATTCAGCCCCATAAGCCAGAACTGAAGCTAGCAGATGATTGTGCATTGATAGGTCAGCATTAGGAAGACAGGATCTCACTGTTGGCTTTATAATGAAACTGCTGCATTGTTTGTTATTGCCAGCATCTGAAAAAAGACCCATATTTCAGTGATGGCAGTACTGCAGTTAAAGAGAAGGAAGAACATAAGTACTACAAAGCCAGACATAATAAGACAAAATGAAGGTGCTATGTAACTGGTAATGCATTTAATTTCTACTGTTTTGTCTTGTACTCAAGAGTCTTTTTACATCTCTTGAGTTTACAGGTTATCCAAGGGGCTTGTTATAGGTCTTTGTGCCCTAACTGTAATGTCTGTGGACCAAACAGGTCAATGAGTATCCTGAGTTGTGTCTCTGTACTTTAATCTTTTTCTTTCATACTTTCTGAAACTTAGATGGCTCAGCAACAGCCCAGCTCTGGCCCGGCTTTAAACCATCAGCTGAAGATTTCCTTCATTTGACTTCATTTCCTATTTGCCACGTGTAATGCATTGAAATAGCACATGTTTTTTTGCAGAAACGATGTGTTGGTAGAATGTGTTAATGTGTACTGAAACAGGACTGTGTGGTTTACACTTAGTTGCAGTCTGGTGCCTTCTAAAACAGAGATGGTTTATACACAACATGTATTATTATTATTAAATCTGAATTAAATTAATAATTCACTATTAAACCTGGCCCTCAGATCAATCTTTCATTTTCCACAGAGAATAAAAAAATATGTAATCCCCCCAACAAACTCTACTTTCTGGCTTGGCAAGTCTCACCAGCAGCACACCATATTCCGTCAGCATCCCCTCCCCCTGACTTCAAGTCAACTAGTTTTACCACCAGCAACTGGATTATTGAAGATAACTGGTTTTTATTCTCTTTCATTGCCCCCTGGGTTATGAGTTTCAGAATCAGAAAGGCCATATAGTGCAGATGGTTGGACTGTCACAAAGAGCATTGCACATGCATTCAGAGAAACTGTGTGCACATTAAGGGGATCTGCTGTTAGTGTTTCCTGGCTTAGTTTTTAAAGATAAGGAGACTGGAAAAACATTCCCTGAAGAAAGAAGACTATAAAATTGTGAAAGACATTAGAAATTATTCATAGCTGTGTTGCATTTTGTGATGATAAGACAGAGACAATATTCTTTTCCTCACATTGTTTGGTTATATGGTATTTTTCCTGCCATAGTGAATCTTTTTAAGGTATAAAGCAAAGTGTAATACTAAGTGAAACCCACAGCTCAGGTGGAAACTAAAAAGATGCTGCCCACAATTGTCCCTGAACAACCAATGATATAAAAGCTTTTACTTTCATAGTAATTGATGTTAAGGAAACTGTCAGGGGATCAGAGTTTCACACTGAGTGCTTTAGTTCCAATTAGACTTCCTCTGATTGTGAGTCATCTGTTCCATCATGGATCTTTAATAGTTTATAATCTTGTGATGTTTCCAGTGAAGTTAAGATACTGACTAGATACTGATACTTTTTTTTATATATATTTACATATTTTATGTATGATTGTCTTCAACTAACACAATGATTTGATTCCAGTAGACCATAGTGCCAAATAAAATCAACAGTAAAGTGTTCAGTACAGTTCATTATCTTTTCATATGACTAGGCTTAATACTTTTTTCCAGACACATGCAGTACGTCATATGCTACCCAGCTTACTTAAAAGACTAGCTTTGATCATATGGGTGAATATGTCGCTTGAAGACTGTTTGATTCAAGGAACAGGATCCCAGGACAGAAGACGAACTGGAGCATTGTTTTTGAAGGAAAATGAAACTAAAAGACACAAAGAATAGGGAAGTGAACTGAACACTGTGGAATCCTTCATCCAGTAACCCTATAAAGGCAGGCTTGGAATGTGCTCATTTTTAACAGCTGAAGAATTTTGAGAGAAATCTTCAGATCGTTCAGAACCTTTCCTTTTGTAGAGACTGCTCTACAAGGACCGCCACCTCCTTGCCATTGTATTGAAGACACTGCAGCCAACGTTTAGGATGTCATCTCTGATTATGACAGGCCTGGATAGCTGAAGTACTGCAGCAACAACAGCAGAGACTAGGACCAAGAGATTGTCACCAGCCCCTCTGTGTCAGCTACCTCACTAAACACCAGACAGGAGGGGGCCACCAGTCTTGGTGTGGTTCTTGGGGAGGTGTGGGTATGTGAGGTGGTAGCCCTGCTAGGAGGCCCCTGTTCCCCAGCACAAGGTGATCAGCACTACACAGGCTAGTGGTAACTGTGGTTTCCTCACCACCCACCTCAAGAAGAGCTAAGGACCCACAGCTGGAGATTGATTAGGACTCTAATCATGGAGGTAACAGTCTCCTTGGTCAGACTTAAAGTCCTGGCTGGGAAGAAGCAAGCAGAGAAAGAGGGAAACAGCTGTGTATGTGTGGGCTTTGCAGGTGGAAAAGGGGGAATGAGCATCCTGAAGGTGGCGCTGCCTCCTACCTGCTGAGGCATGGGAGGATGACACCCCTGAACGTACTCTCATCTCATCGCAGTACCTCCTACCCCCGCTCCCCTCTTAAAACATAAGAGCATAAGAAATTTACAAACGAGAGGAGGCCATTCGGTCCATCCAGAACTCAACTAATAGCTCAGAGTTGTTAAAATCTTATCTAGCTCTGATTTAAAGGAACCCAAGGGATTTAGCTTGCACTACACTAACAGGAAGACTATTCCATACCATAACTACACGCTGTGTAAAGAAGTGTTTTCTCAAATTCTTTTTAAAATGTTCTGCTAATTCCTACCTATTGCCACAAGTTCTAGTATTTAAACTAATATTGAAGTAGCCATTTGGCTGAACAGCATCCAGACCTGTTAGAATTTTATATACCTGGATCATGTCCCCTCTTAGTCTCCTTTGGTTGAGGCTAAACAGATTCAGCTCAGCTAATCTCTCCTCATAAGACATTCCTCTAAGACCAGGAATCATTCTTGTAGCCCTGTGTTGCACCCTTTCCAAGGCAGCAATGTCCTTTTTAAGTTATGGTGACCAAACCTGCACACAATATTCTAGGTGGGGTCTTACTAAGAAATTGTATAATCTTAGCATCACCTCCCTTGACTTAAACTCCACACACCTGGAGATGTAATCCAACATCCCATTGGCCTTTTTAATTGCTTCCCCACACTGGCGATAGAGGGACATGGATGCTTCAACACATACACACCAAGGTCTTTCTCATAATCAGCTACTTTTATTTTAGTGGAACCTATAAAATATCTGTACTTTAAATTTTTGCTCCCTGCATGGATTACTTTACATTTATCTACGTAAAATTTCGTCTGCCAGTGTGGGAGCGGCCGTCACCCTCGCGGGGTCGGCTGCCTGTTGCCTCTGGTTCTCTGGGGCTCGTGCCCTTTTGGCTGCGGGGGCTGCGCCTGGGTCCTCCCTCCTCCTCCTGCTGGGGTGGGGACCCGGCTGTCGTGGGGACATGGGGCCTTGGCTCTTCCGTGCTCTTGGGGGGCTGCGGACGCCTTGGGTCTCCTGGGCCTGTCTCCGCCGGCCTCTGGTTCTTGTGGGGTGTGGTTGCAGCCCCCCACCCTCGCTATCAAGTGCATTCCATGGAGAAATTCACACGCACCCAACACACACATACGTGTTCAAACACCTCCCCAAAACAGATGAACAGACATGCAAATATACCTCCACGCTCCCTTCCTAGCACACGCAACAATTTTGTATGTCTGTATATCTGTTTTATTTTCTTTATGTCTGGTTGTGTCTTTGTATTTGTCCTTTTTTGGTTGTATTTCAAATGCGTTTTTTTTTTTTTCTTTTCTTGCCTTATGTGCTTTTTACGTTACTCCTGTCTTTCTTAGCCTCTCTGTCCCACTGTTGTCTCCGCCTTTCTTCGTTTTTTTTTTTTCTCTCTCTCTTTCCTTCCTTCTCTTTAATCTCTCTCCCTACCCCTTTTCTTCACTCATTTTC